CCCCAAAACCCCAAAACCCCAAAACCCCAAAACCCCAAAACCCCAAAACCCCAGTTAGTTCACCTGAATTTGAATGTTAAAAATTTGATTGATACTCCCTGCTAAGATCAATCTGAGCCTTCGAGATCTGCCATTCGTAAGGCTTATGTCTTTCCCTAGATAGTTAAAAGCAGCCTTTACTCATAAGTTCTTAAGATAGAGTCAACTTCATTCTCTCCTAATGAAGGATGTCTGCTTTCACCCGGGCTATAACTGTTTGCAAAGATATCTTACAATATATTCTTTGATTCATAAAGCTCTTTATTTGTTAAACACTTTGCTATATTATAGTATAATCTCTCACTTTCCCTCTGAGAATCTAACTCAAATACATTTCCAATTCTCCTTTGCTCCCAATTACTTCTCATTTCGGTAATTCCTACTGAAGGTTTTGAGGACTCCACAACTGGGGAATACTGACTACCTATTTCACTCAAATTTTTCTCAGTAATAATTCCAAGACTTTCGCCCAAAATACTCCTTGAACTAAGGAAAGAGTCTCTGATTTTACCACTCTGACTTGACTCAAATTTCTGTATTTCAGAAAAGGAGCTCTTTTCACCATAAGTTTTAGCACGATTCCTATCCAGGTATTCAATACTATCAGTTCTAAGATCAACTTCGTGATTGGACTTCTTCCCTGCTGGCTTCATTACCATTGGATCTACTTTCTGTTTAGCACTTTCATTCTTTGTGTTCAAATCTCTAAATATTTATTCAGACAAAAACCTTAATTTAGCTCTGACCGGAATTTTTTCTTCAGTCAAGGATCTGAACCTCGCCAGTTCTTGCCTAGGTCTTTCATAAACAAATCTTTCAGGTTTGGCATGACTAAGAAGTTTACTACTGTGACCGCTGACCCTGAAAGTGTTGATAATTGAGCTAAGTTTAGATCTTATTAATGTTTGATCAGATAAACCTTTCACAATTGCCTCCTCAAGAGCGACTAATTTGGAAATGAATGAATCATGCTCAAATTTTAAACTTTCAACTTGATCTCTATATCTAAGCTCCTCCCTTTCCAACTTTTGTAGCTTGGATCGGAGGCTAAAATTTTCGTCTTTTCATTGATCCTCATTCTTCTGACAGAATTTAAGATTATTCTGAGTCAGAGTAAGTTCTCTCTTTAATGATTCCACTTCAGTCAAATTTTCCTTGATAATTATTCCTGCTTTGAGTTTCTCGCTCCTTAATATGTCATTGTCAGCTTTTAAAGCAGAGTTTTCAGAATTTGAAACACCAATTTTATATTCAAGAGTTGATTCTTTCTGCTTACATTGCTTGATCTCTTTATGTAGAGATTCATTAGTCATGTTCAAGCGATGCATATCTTCATCTTTCTGGCCAAGTTGCATGTCTAAATCAGTGACTTTTTGGACTAATTTAGTAATCCTTGAATGAAGATCATTATGAGTCTCTGTAGATTTCATACTACTATTTTGGGTTTGTAGGAGTTTGTTCTCAAGATCGAGTTGGACTGACTTTAATCTCCTAATTTCATCATTCTTCTCTTGTACAAGATGGCTAAGCCTTTGTGTTGCTTTCTCAAAGCTGCTTCGTTCTTTCTCAATCTCTTTTTCACTTTCGATCTTGGCTTTATTACTCAAATCTAGAGAATACTGTATTTTGGATAGCTCATTTTCTGCTTTTCTAAGGTTGATTTCCAAGTTGCCGACTTGCTCATAAAGTTCAGAATTCTTCTTTAAAGTGGTTTGAAATTCGTTGTTTACTTCTTTCAGCATATTTTCATATCGCTCTATTCAAGTACTTGGAGGGGTCTTTTCAGTGAAATCATCCTCTTCAATAGCGTTATCATACCTGGTCGAAGGCTTTATCGTTTGTTCAGTCTTAAAACTATGCATGCCAATATTTTTAATCCTACTTCGACTAGTTTTAGGTCTTGCAATAGCATTAGTTGGCTTCTTCACAGGAGAAGAAATTAAAGACTTCTTAGAGGGTATCCTCATTCCTTTCCTAGACTATAATCGTTCTATAATACCTTTTCTTGAAAGAGCTAGTCAAACTCCTATTTCTTTTACCTTTTAGATCATCATTGCTTTCTGATAAATCAACTTGAAACGGGATACAGCTCTTTTTGTACTTATCATTGGCATTTTTAAACTTAGCTTTTTGTTGAGTCTCATTTGAAGTTTTAGCTTGTGCTTTTACCTATAAAGCTTAATAAGAGAGAAAGAAAATAAACAAATCAATGTACCTTGTTTAGAGTTCCATTCCTAACAGAAGACTTATTTTGACTTCTTGGTCAATCTTGAAAGGATCTGGTTATAAGCAGAGCCTTTAGAATTCTAAATGGGGGTTAGATATTCAACATTAAACTCTATACATTAGTCTTAAATTTATATCAGAAAGAAAAGAGCCAAGTAAGCTCGAAAGATAACTTACATTTTTAACAGTCATTTGATCATTACTATTTTTATCAGCTTTAATCAGAACTGAATTTACACGGCAATGAGCCTCATTCCTACTCTCAAGCATAGACATTGATGCTTTGACAGATGTGGTATTTTCCTTCCTTTTAAGACCTGTATTTCGTTTTGATACTCCTTTGAACATTGACATATTTGCTTCAATTATATTTTTCTCTAATGGGGTTTTGGGGTTTTGGGGTTTTGGGGTTTTGGGG